CAGCTTGGATTTCTTCTGTAGCTGATGTCATGTTTCACTTCAGCTACCCTTTATAGGTGCCTGATAAATCTCCATGGGTGCTTTCCCTTTGAAAATTTTTATACTGATGATGCACTTTCATTTTAAATATGGAAGCATATTGGAACTTTATTATCAATCTCAGTGAAATCCTTAATTAAAAAGTCAGATGGCTGCCTGCCTTGTTGTAAAACCAGAGGAGCCAACACTAATTTATGTACACTGTCAAACGGACATAATTATGCTGCTGGTAGACTTGCAGATGGTTAGCAGCAAGAGCACAAAAACAAGGGTCAAAACATAACCACAGGTCACATCTTTCTAGCCAAATGTTCACCAGTCAGCTCTTCTATACACATATTTCCTATGAAGTTTCTGAGGAGGAAGGTGTTTATTGTTTAGAGCTGTGGGGTTTTTAAGTGCTTCTGTTTATATGATACATGCTATAACTTCTGAGATCTTTTTTTGCCCAGACGTTCAGGCTGTACTACATGAGAGTTGTATTTCCAGGAACAGAAGTAAAACCCCCAGTGTGGACCTGGTTCTTATGATTTTCCTATGGATCATGCTAGAAAAGCTGTTGTCAAATATCAGAAAAGTGATTTATAAGTTGAACCACCTCCATATAGTGCCTGTATGGGAAAACTGACACTTTGTGCAGATCTGAACTCATCCAAGGGCAAACTATTATGCTGACACCTAGGCAAAGCAGAGGGCTGGTTCTGTGCTATCCCATCTCCTTAAGGGAATGGGCTTTGACTCCTGATCCCTGGCCAATTCCCACCACATCAGGGCTTCTCTGTGAAGAGCTGTGGAGTTTCTTTAAATGGATCTGTGGCTCACAGTTCATAATAACCACATTTCTGTACTCTGTGTAAAGGAATGGTTGCTGTTTTTTATAGGGTTTGTAAGGCAGAAGAACCTATGCTCAGTCTGTCTAACATGATTTCCTTGTTTCCCTGCTCTTTCTAATGTCTGTTTTATAATTAGCTCAGATAATCCATGGTGATTGTGAAACCAACACAGTAAACACAGTAAAGTGATGTACTCTTATCACTCTCACAGTGTTTTGACTGTGACATGTTTGATGAAGGAACAATTTGTACAAAACCTGCCTCAGAGAGATCCCACCTGATTATTAGATAGTTCCAGTGCACAACAGTGCAACCAAGAGTAGCACTTCTGGCACTAATAATATCTTTTATGATTTCTGCTTTTTAAAAAGTAAAACATGAACTGTCACTCTGAGTAAGCTGTGTTTTCTAAATTGTCATATCTTTTGTCCCTGTTAATTCATATGCTGTTTTCTTAGATTTCAGCTTCATTGAGCTTTCACTCTGCCTGGATGTATCGGAGGTGGAAGGAGAAAATTGGTTCTGTCAGTATTGCTCAGGTGCTGCAAATGAGAACAATAAACTTCAGCATGCTACAGATGACTCTGCAACAGAAGAAACACATTTATTCACAAATAATTTGCAATTAAACTGTGAATAGGTGATGCCCAGTGACAGCACCAGAGACAGTGGGCACAGGCTGAACACAGGAGATCTCTCTGAACATCAGGAAACATTTTTTTTACCGTGAGGGTGACCAGGTGCCTGCACATGTCACCCAGGGAGGCTGTGAATTCTCCCTCCCTGCAGATATTGTAAAGCCATCTGTATGTGGTCCTGGACAACATGCTCCAGTTTAAACAGGGAAGTTGGATCAGATGACCGTCACAGGCTCTTCCAGCCCTGAACATTCTGTGAGGCTGGGATTTGGTTTGGGTACAGTCACTCAGCCCAGCACTGACAGCAAACACCTGGTCTTCAGCAACTGCTCAGAAAAACACTAATGCTCAGGCTCCCTACATCTTTCTTTCATATACATTAACCAGTAAAAAATGTATTTGTTTCCAGTTCCCCTTTATGGGAATTATCATGTGAAATATGCAGTGGGAAAGCATATTTTGCATGTCCAGTACTGTTATTCATATATAATATACTCTTATTGAGTATATTCAGAAATCTAAGACTAAAAGATTTTTTGGTAGTTTTGAACCAAGTTTGCTATTTTATTGCACATTGTTCTGCACTACAACTGTAACTGGAAGTGCAAGATAGCTTTATCCTGTCATAGTGTAACAGATTCCCTTCTCCTGTTGCTTTTTTTTGATCAAGATGAATCAATTTAGTGCTGGAGGGAACTGGACACTTTCTGTTTTGTGCATCAACAAAATCTCATTTTGATGGCAAATCTAAAACTTACATCCCATCCCAATTTTAGAACAAGAGGAAGATTTTGGGGCAAATCCAAGAGCATTCCTGAAGTGTTACACATCTTTCCTCTCAGTACTGCTAGAATTTGTCATTAACCCCATCCATCTCCTGTCTACTGGATGATGAGTAAATCCATCAACTGCATGCTGCTAAAATTCCCAGTCATCTAGTTAGAGGTGAAATATCACAACACACACTCAGTGCTTTCTGAAATTTTAATCTGCTTAACCCAATTACATAGTAAGAGATAATGCTGTATGTACAACTGCTGAGTCTGCAGGGATAGAATGCAGCAAGTGGCAAATCAAAAAGCAGCATTTTTTTGTCTCCTCTAACTATGAGAATTGTGCTCCAGATGCACAATGGCTTTGATCAGCTGCCATGTCCTTAACTGTGGGGGACAATGCTGGAGTTCCTTCCTCAGTCTTCCTTTCTCTGGTGGGGGCTCTGACTACCTTTCATTCCTTTTGTTTTCTTCTAATTTTTAGTATACAGGGGATACTGTATATATTTTATCTGTGTTGTGAGATTTTTTATCTGGCTGCATGTCCTTTGTCCTCGTTTGTCTTTTCTCAAAATTGCATTACAGTAATCAGAAATTTTGTGTTTATGCTCTTGAGGTGTCATCTTGTGCTTGTGCACTTTGTCCCTCTGTGATCAACCTCTGCTTGAAACAACTCTTTCTTCAGTGGTTCCAAGCATGTTTTGGTACCTGCTATTAATTTTCCTATGAGATGTAATTGTAGCTCCATACATTTTTTCCCCCAAAATCAGAGCAAAATCTATTCACAATGAAACCAGATGAAAAAGAGAACTGAGTTGGAATGGGGAAAGATACAATTGTATTATCCTTTGGTTTGACATTAGAGATTATTTTTTAGAGCTCTCTTTATGAAAAAATAAAATAACCATACATGACCAGGCTGCATGGATGCCTCTGTTTTCCACAACTGTGTGAAACTCTTGAAAGGTTCACCCATATTGGCTGAAGGTTTCAAAGGTTGGTTGTCCCTACAAGATTTATAGAAATAAGCAGTGAAGAAAAAGAGGAAATCCTGTAAAAGATTCACTTAGAAGCATCAGGAAATCCTCACAGCTATCAATAAAATTACAGGAAATTTAAAAAATTTGGATCTGCTGCCAAAATTTACTGATTTTTCTCTTCACAAAAGTGGTGGAGCCTTTTATCTTCATCTATCCCAAGGTCAGCAAAACTCATACTTCTGAAACAAAAGAAAGTAGGCATGAAAGGAATAAAAACATAAATTGTCCATCTGATTGGTAAAAATTACTTTACCTGTTGGGCTGCACAGTTTCATGAAACAGCACCAACTTTTAGGACTCCCAGGCTCTCCCTGGGCTGCAAGGGAGTCTCTGTTCCACGGGGATTTCTCTGGGGCTACCGGGAGGATCCCTTTCTGAGCCCGCAGCCCTTCTGCCCTCCTCCTCCTCCAGCTCCCCTTGGGGTCCCTCCTCAGCTCCTCCTCCTGTACCGCTGTCACCTTTGGCCCTTGCTGGAACCTGTTTGTCCCCAGGATCCTGCAGCCCCACTGCCACCCCCAGGGCAGGGACACTCTGTGCCACCTCAAATACAGAACCTTGATGTGCAATCTAGAAATGATCCATGCTCACCTTACGGGCATATTACTACTCAGTGAGATCAAGAGATAAAATTTAATATGTCTTGTCCATATTAGCCAGCAAAGCTAGGCATTTCTTGTGAACTGGGCATATTGCAAAAGCAGTTGATGTTTTTATACTCCATTAACCAGAGCAGAGCTGATTAAATATGTTTCAGGGCTCAGAGGCTTGTATCATTGAAGAATATATTCTGGGGTTGGAAAAGTTGAGTCAGTGCAAAAGAAAAATCCAAGATGATATGACGTCCATCAGATAATGCCCAAATTCAACTTTGGTTTATGTCTTTGAGATATATAAATTTTCTTTTCAGCTTTTAGTATATCCAGCATTAGTATGAAACTTCATTTTTTTACCCTATATCCATTTCAAATTGCAACCGAAGAAAATGCATCGGTTCAAGCCATCAGCCTAAGCTGATGGATATTTTCTGCTTCTCTTCAGTGCACTTTAAGATAGACTATTTATCTTTATCTTACATTAAACATCTGTGAAGAACTATAAAACACTTTAGAGTGGCTAAAAATTCCCAGAATTCAATGGGAATATTTTCATTCAAACTGCTGAGGTTTTTGCACGATGTTTTTCACAATTAGGGACACAGCACTTTCAAAGGCTGTGTTATCAATGTGACTGTGCTGAGGATACTATCTGAGCTTAGACAGTGTTCAGTTATACTGCAACTCATTAATCTTCTATATTGAGGATGAAAATAAGTTTTAACCAGAAAATATTGTTTGATTCTTCCTGACCTTGCTTGCCCTTGACTAAAAGCAAAAGCTGATTTTAATCTGAAGTATTTTGTCTTGCAAATGAAGTCTTCCATTATAAACAATTACAAATGCATAAACAAGGTAATGTAGGTCACTCAACTTACTTTTTTCCTTGAAGTTTCTCTTTATTTTTTCCCAAAATCTTCAAAAGTGGGATTATTAGGAAAGCTCCAGAATCCAGGAGCTGTGCATTATGCTGAAGATTGAGTCATGAATGGTAGATTACAGCAATATCTCTCACTCCAACCATACCCTTTTCTTCTACTGTTGTCTGTTATGAAAATGAAAACACTGAAGGAGTACACAGAGATTTTTCTTATCCTTAGTTTAATGAGAAAAATCCTAACTCTTGTTACAAGTGCTTTATTCATTCCTTTTCTCTTTTTCTACAGTATTGGGTCATCTCTCAACACAGACAGTAAATTGTTTGAAGAAATTACAATCTCTGATATAAGGCCCAATTCTAATTTCAGAGCTACTAAGTAAACAATCTAGAAAAAACAATTTATATAGCAATATACTAACAGAAAACTAACTAGCAGAAAACACCAGCATAAAAAAGTTACTGATAGGAAATGTAATGTTATTCCCAACTTCAGCTCTATTTTATTTATACATGGGGTCATGAATTCAACACAAACATTCTCATTACTTATAGAGGGGATATTTTACAATGTTTCAAATTAAGGGAGGAACATCTTCATTATTTTCAAAATCATAGGAGCTCTTCTTAGCCTCAGTAACCTTCTGTGGTTGGAGCTTTATAGGTCCCTGTCCAGTTCGTTCCTTTTCTTGGACTATCTTTGTCACATCAGGGAATGAATATTTGCTAGGATCCACTTCCAACTTCTCAACTTGTCCACTCCTGAAACAAGAGGGAAATAAACAGAAAAAAACATAATTTGAGTGTCAAATATAGGAGAACTGTTTGAATTTATTATGTGATTCTATGGTTCTATTTTGGGTGCCTGCCTATAAACACATGGTATGAGGGTTGTTACTGAGTCCAATTAAACCAGGGTTAAGAGTTCTTCTAACTTGAGAATTGATTGCTAAATAAAAACCCTAAGTGTAAACACATGAAAATAATACAAAATCTCTAAGATTTTGTACAGAAGAATCTCTAGTCTCCAACTTCAAAAGTTAATTTTAGATAGCTATAATTCCCTTTATATCAGAACATGGTGACTGCTGGTATCACAGTACAAATCACTGGCTTTTGATGTAAGATTTTTTTAAATCCAACTGGGTTTTTTTATTCTTTTTTTTTTCTGTTCCTTTTGGCACAGTTCCTTCCTACTTACTGTCTATTAATTTCCAGGTGACAGGTCCATCTTTGGAAAACAGAAATATTTGCATTTATAGAGAAAATACAATTTTAGGAACTTATCTGCCTTGATCAGCTAATTCTTGTATTTTGGCAACATGACTCCTCACCATGTTTTTATTATTAAAAAATAAATTAAATTATAAGAAAAGTCAGAGTTTTAACACAATTTTCATATTCTATTGCTGTTAGGGATACTCTTTCAGATGACACTTAGAAATGTGTACTGGCCACTCATTAAGGTAATCTATCCACATCACATGATGATCAAAGATTTGAAACATACTCTCTGTCTTGCAGCATTTAATCTCATTGTTTACTTCTAAGAGAGGAGCTCAGTGATTAAATGGAAAAAATCTAACCTGCTTTCATGCAATTTGTAACTGTTTACATGAAAAAATGGCAAAATGGAAATTTAGTTGTACAATTATGCTTAATTTCTTCAAATTAGAACATGATTTGTACATCTTTGTACTCCATTTTATACTGAGTCACAGCTCCCAGCTCAGCATTAGAAAAGACAGTGCCTCATCCTTCAGAGATGTGAGAAAATTGTTTACCCAGGAGATCAGAAAGGCTCCTTAGAAATAGAACAAACAAGGGGGAGGCAAAGTCACTGCGTGACAGAATGCATTTTATGGATGACAACACAGAAAATGAAAATTCGAATATAAAGCACAGTTAAAGATTTTAAACTGAAAATACACCATCTTTAGTTGTTAAAACAGGGAGAGTTTTGCAGGGCAGCTTCCAGATTGTGCCAGTGCTTCTCCATCAAGGCTGTGGGAGATGTGAGCAGGCATCCCAGCCCTCACTAGGGCAGGGTCTCTGTCCCACTGGAGCAGAGGTGCAGAGGGGCTCACGGGAGGGCTCCTCCTCCTCTGTGCTGTGCTGAGGAAAGCAGGAGCTCCACAAGAGGCAGTCACCAGCCTAACCACCCCTTTCAGCTCTATGCCACTAGGTTTTTCTTGTACTAAAAGAATAATTTGATCACTTTTTCTGAGCAGAAAACAGCCAGAGAAGCTAGATGCTCTAATAACCTGCATAAATCTTTTCCAAATAGCAGCATAAGCAAGAATTACTCTGAGTAGAATTTTATGGGTAATGAAAACAAATACAAGAAAAGTTTTATTTCTTTACCCTAAAAATTCTTCAATTTAAAAAGCTAGATTTTTTTTTCTGATATTGCACTATACTATTAAATGAAACAAAAAAGTGTTCATTTGTGGCAACATACTGAAAAATGTTCATCTCCCCAAAAGTAAAGGGCATTTTAGTTTCCTGTGTAATTTACAAAATGTGCTGTGACCTGGAATCACTTCATCATTAGCTGTTGGTGAGATCACAAAGAGAGCAGACCCTTAAACTAATCATTTACCACTAATCTGAGGCACCTCAGAAAAAGCTAAAAAGCATAAACATGAGAATAAATTAGGCTCAGCTTGCGCCTCCATCACATGCTAGAAAAAAACTTCCTTAAATTGAAGTATTTCAATTAGCAGTGGTAGCTCACATTTGTTCAACAACTCTAAAATTGTACAAATTGTCATTCATGAAAACACAATAATGGAGTTTGAATATCTTATTGCTTAGTAGGAGAATAAACTTCAGCATTCCAGAATTGAATTCACAGTGAGTGTCATAAGTAACAATCCACATCAACAAGCTATGACAAGGTTATTGCATCATAAATGCAATTCTCAAAATTGCATTCTCAGTTTTGCAATATCACATGTAATCTCAAAGTATGTTAACAACAGGCAACAGGTAAGACTGAGAATCAAGCACAGTGAATTTTTCCAGAAAGGAGGTGGTTTTCATGTACTTACATGAACATGATCAAACCCTCTATACGTGTTTAGTAAAGCTCCCCAGTGCTACCCCAGGTACCACAATACAACAATTGGCTGACAGCAAGACTGCCAGGCTGAACCCAGTGCAGCTACAGCACAGATCTGATGCTCTCATCATGCAACCATGCAAAAGAGGCTGGGGATTGATGAGGTCAAGCGTAACCACCTGATCATTTTTTGAAGAAAGAACAAGTTTTTCCATGTAATTAACAGAATAAAAACAATCTTGTTGCTGAAGCTCTTCCATGAGCAATGGTAAAACAGCTGTTATGGAAACAAAAATACTCCTTGAAGGACCAGCTACAGAACATACTCGAAAATCTCAGTGTTTGCAAACTATTTCAAGTTCAGGTCTAAAAACAGATAAAATTCACAGTTTTTGGCACTCCTACCTGCTGCTGAGTGTTCTCTACCTAAAAAAATTATGTTCAAACACTAGAGCTCCACACAAAAATAAATTAAAACCTTTATTTCCTCCTGATATTTTTTTCCCTTTGAAAGGCTATTTCTACCTCCATACAGTTTGATTAGGCTTTTAATAAATTAAAATTAGAAGACTCCACAAAAAAGAAAGTTTTGCATCTATAGCAGCCTGCTGAACAATCTGGTGTGTGACATATGGCATATCTGATAATTTGGTATTTCTTGATAATTTACACTTTTATTTACACAGTCTTTAATCCCCATACTTGATATTTAAATTACTTGACAGTTATATTTCCCTGTGTCAACTTCTGAATTTCAATAAAATTTAGATTGCTAGAGATTTCTCATATCTTTGATCCAGAATATATGGTTATTGGCATGTGACTGAAAGTTTCCTTTCTGGTGTCAGGACATAAATATAAAGATATTTAGGAGTCACAACCAACTGCTTTGAAGAGGCACTTTTTCAAATCTTTTAACACTGTGAATGAAACAGGACAAAAAATCATTATCATCCTAGACAAAGTACTAATAAATGCTTTTCTTGAATAAAAAAATAGAGTGATTCCAGTATATGGAATGACATCTTATTTGAGAGCTTAGAGAAAGACAATTCTTTATTTAGGTGTGTTAAAAACTGATGGTGAACATAGGACACTTGTCATACTCTGGTCTTAATTTTTGAAATTATAAGCTTAGAAAAAATCTACTAGGTAATCTAAGCAAATAATTATGGTTTTTTAAGTACCTGGAAAATTAATTCCTCTTTCATTGTTTAAGAGACCTTTTAAATCTCTGTATATGTGTGTAATCTGGAATGAAGCTGTCATTGGAGCCTTCAGAATCAGTGGGAAGACATGAATACTGGTAGAATCAGATGCATCTCTCAAGGACAAAACAACAGTGAAGAATAACTAGCAAAACAGTGGTAAATGTTCTGATAAAGAAAAGGCTGATGATATCTAGGCCATTGTGTTCTAAAAGGCAAATATATTTCATGAATAGGATTCATCAGACTGAGAATACTGTTTACCCAGAATATTGTTTACATATGAGAATATGTATATTACTAATGTCCATGTTTTGAAAAGTTAGAAAATTATAGCCATTGTGACATTTTCAACTTCACTGTTCCATCCCTTTCCTTCTTTTGAATAATCACTTCAAGATATTAAATTTTGAACTGCTCTTGTCTGCAAGCAAGAAAAATGCTCCAATACCTGCAATATGCAAATTGACTCTGAATTTCTATATGTGACTATAATATAATTTTATTTTCTCTCCTTTCATTGTTATATTTGTCAGACAAACTTGAAATCCTTAAATATTTGGGAAACATATACTGAAAACATACTTTATTCTAACAAAGTTTTTTCAAAGTTATAGAATGTTAGAAAACAACTTTTAAGTCCATTTCTGTCCTCAGACTTTTGTCCTTGTCCCATCTGCACAACCAAAGATAACTTCAGACTGCAGTGATCAGGAACTAACTGAAGTGTTCTCTCGAGAATGCTTCCTCCAGAAGGGCACATTTCTGAAGCCTTCTCACCTTTATTATAGTCAAGGATTATCAGATGCCAGTGTGCAAATTAATTTTCAAATCACTTCTGAGGAACCCCCCCTTTTGTTCTCCTAATTAGACAAATGATGGAGATGTACACCCTCTACTTTGATTAGCTCCAGGCCTCTATGAGAATGCAAATGACTCCATCCTTCGAGATTAATTTGAGTAAAAAACATTTTAACATGTTGCTTAGTCATATCTGACTACAGTTTCTGGTTAAGAAGCCAACTGAATTACAGTTCCTATGACTCCTCCTTTCCCATATATTACTTGCATTCTAAAAGTTCTCAATGTCTTCACGACAGATAACAAAATTCCATTACCAGAAAATATTAATTCTGCAAAGTGTTCTGCTCTAAAGATTTGTGATCTAATCCCAGGTATTTATCAAAGGCATTACATCTCAATAGAACTGATAACTGACTTGTCATTTGTGATCTTTGCACACATTTACTTATCTGTCATTCAGGCCACTATTCAGATGCACTTGTCTTTCTTCATGTTGAAATGTTTGTGCTTGGTATAGACACTGAGAATTTGGGTTCTGAAAGATCCCATAAATCCTGTTGCAGCTCTTTCAGATCAGTTTGTCTGCAACACCAATCAGTTTCTGACCTCACCTCACCTCCCTTCCCAATCCTGAGGAAATGACTCATTTTGTTCTACTGTATTTCTCTTCACAAACACAGAGCTCT